CTGTGTCCACAAACTTAAAAGTCACTGGGTACCCTGCTCAGCCTTGAAACTGGCTTTCAAAGCCTCCCGGATGCACAGCGCGTCCCGCTGGGCTCTTCTAATCGCCCGGCTGTCTGGCTGGGCGTAATCAGCAGCCAGGCTATTTGCCTCAACCTCCCACCCCGCCATAAAGGTCTCCCCCTTGCTCTCACAGAGATTGTGGAGCACACAGCAAGCTGCAATAACGATGGGGATATTGGTTTCGCTGAGATCACAGCGAGTGAGTAAGCTTCTCCATCTCCCCTTGAGACGGCCAAAAGCACACTCCACCACCATTCTGCACTTGCTCAGCCGGTAGTTAAACAGTTCTTTTTCTGTGTCCAGGGCGCCAGTATAGGGCTTCATGAGCCAGGGCATTAGTGGGTAGGCTGGGTCCCCGAGGATCACTGTAGGCATCTCCACATCCCCCACAGTTATCTTGTGGTCCGGGAAGTAAATACCTTCCTGCAGCCGTCTAAACAGACCAGAGTTCCTGAACACGCGAGCGTCATGAACCTTGCCCGGCCATCCGACATAGATGTTTGTAAACCGTCCCCGATGGTCCACCAGTGCTTGCAGCACCATTGAAAAGTAGCCCTTTCTATTGATGTACTGGCTGGCCTGGTGGCCCGGTCCCAGGATAGGGATGTGAGTCCCATCTATAGCCCCACCGCAGTTTGGGAATCCCATCGCAGCGAAGCCATCTATGATGGCCTGCGCGTTTCCCAGGGTCACTACCTTTGACAGCAGTACCTTGACGATTGCCTTGGCTACTTGCATGACAACAACCCCCACGGTAGATTTGCCCACGCCAAAGTGGTTCGCGACTGACCGGTAGCTGTCCGGCGTTGCAAGCTTCCAGAGGGCTATGGCCACTCGCTTCTGGACAGTCAGGGCTGCTCGCATGCGGGTGTCCTTGCGCTTCAGGGCAGGGGACAGCAAGTCACAAAGTTCCAGGAAAGTGCCCTTCCGCATGCGAAAGTTTCGCAGCCACTGGGATTCATCCCAGACCTGAAGCACTATGCGGTCCCACCAGTCCGTGCTTGTTTCCCGGGCCCAGAATCGCCGTTCAACAAAATCCACATGCCCCATTGCCACCGTGATGTCCTGGGCGCTGGGGCTCGTGGTTTCTGACAGCTCTGTGCTACTCTCCGACTTCAGGCCCTCACGGCGGTGCCGTAGCCTCCTCGCCTGATTACTCTGCATCTGCCTCAGGGTAAGGTGTATGATAAGGTGCGAGGCGTTGAGAACGGCCACAACTGCAGCGATGGTCGCAGCGGGATCCATGATCGCAGTGCTGTGGCGTCCGCGCTGTCACTGATCAAAAAGTGCGCGAACTGATTTCCCGCCGGCGCTTTCAGGGAGGGAGGCAGGGCGGTAGTGACTGACGGATGACGACAGTTACCCAAAAGCACCCTCGCCACATTTTTTTACCCAGAAGGCATTGGGGGCTCGACCCAGAATTCCAATGGGCAGCGGGGACTGCGGGAACTGTGGGATAGCTGCCCACAGTGCACTGCTTCCAATGTCGACGCTTTCCCTGGTACTGTGGACTGACAAAGTCGAATTACTGTCCTTAGTGTAGACACACACGTTCGACTTTCTAATATCGATTGCACATATTCGATTTAACTAAAATCGAACTACTCTCGTAGTGTAGACATACCCTTAGGGTGTGAATATTTCACCCCTCTGAGCAACATAAATTAAACTGACATAAGCATTCATGTGAGAGCTTCTCCCACCAACATCACTTATGCTGCTTGCAGAGGTGGTTTCTTTAAGCCAACGGGAGAGCTCTCTCTCCCGTCGGCATAGAGTGTCTTCACTAAATGTGCTGCAGGGCACAGCTGTATCAGTACCTGTATCAAAAGAACCTACTTCATTACAAAAAAAACCTCTGCAATCGCACACCCCTAGTTGTCATCTACCACCCTATGCTGGAAACCATACAGGGTATCATTAAACAATTAGAATCTGTGCTTGACAGGGAACACGTCCTGAAAGAAATCTTTCCCAAACTCCCTCTTCTGGCCTTCAAACAACCCCCCAACTTTGGCAAATTCATTAACAGAAGCAAGTTTCCCACAGTCCAAGACAAACACAAACTCAAAGCAGCACCAGACGCTGCCAGAACAACAGATACAAAACTTGCAGATATATCTCCACTGCTACAATGATTAATAGCTACCCAAACATACCTTTCAAGACACGTGGTGTACCTAATCCATTGCACTAAATATCCCAATAACAAGAATTACTTGTAACAAAAGTAAATAAGAAATTTTCAGAGTGAAGTCAATTTAAAATTGACAGGTCCCCTTAAAGAATCACATCTGAAGCTTGACGGTACTTGGTGCATGAAAATATGCCTCTCTCCCAAAACAAAACAATAACCATCCCTGCAAAATTTCTGCAAACATATAAAAGTAACTGGATTTAAAAATAAAGTAATTTCACAATTTCACACATGCTTTCATTCTCCATGTATCTCCAAGCTTTACAACAAGAGATAAGTGCATATTTTCCACATATGCAAGTATATATGCTTGCTATTTTATTAATGAGAGGAAAATCAGCATGGACTCCAAGCTATCAAAAAGCGTGGATAGGGAAAACTAATGTCAGAGAAAACAATCCAAGATACAAAATACCAGTTGTGCCAGACTACAGCTGAAAGAAAGTTTTAGGACTACTTAAGCAATTAGGTCACTCATCTTAATGTACCTGAGTGTTCTGGATCTTACTTGTCAAAAAATGATAATATTCCTTTTTAGAAGAGATGTTACATAATGCAATAAATTGGTTAGCATACTGCTGAAGGGCTCAAATATTAACTTTGAAGCTTACATCTTTTAATGCAAAATTATCAATTTACCACAAAAGTGAATCAACTTGGGGTATATGTTGAATCTTTAAGACATTTGCAAGTTAAAGATTGGCAATCACACAGTGCAGCTCTGCATTGGATCATCTGTGCAAGATTCACTCTTTGGTGACGCAAAACAAACCAAAGGCATTAAATTGAAATATGAGTTCTTCAGTCTAGCAGAGAAAAATATAACATGATCCAATGGCTAGTCACTGAAGCTAGAAAATTCAGACAGGAAATAAGGCTTACATTTTTAACTGTGAAAGTAATTAACCACTGGAACAATTTCCCAAGAGGTTGTGATGGATTCTTCATCACTGGCAACTTTAAAATCAAGACTGGATGTTTGTCTAAAAGATACACTCTAGGAATAATTTGGGGAAAGTTCTATGGCCTGTGCTATACAGGAGGTAAGACTAGATGATCACAATGGCCCTTTCCAGCCTTAGAATCTATTAAACATGTCAGATTGTATTTATGTATCTCTCTCTCTCATATGCACATATGTTATCTTGAATGAAAACTGGTAACCCTATTTTAAATAAATATGCTGAACTCGCAAAACAGAGTAAGAAGGTGTTGCTCCAGCACTAAACTTGGTCATTTTTCTGGTTTAGATTCATAGATTCTAAGGTCAGAAGGGACTACTGTGATTATCTCCTGCCAAACACAGGCCATAGAGCTTCCTTACTTGAGCTACAGCATATCTTTCAGAAAAAAAAAATCCAATCTTGGTTTAAAAACTGACAATGATAGAGAATCTATTACAACCCTTGGTAAATTGTTCCAACAGTTAACTACCCTTTCTGGTTTTATGATACAGATCATCTTCAATTTAATGTAAAAAGAATTTGAAAAATAACGACAAGTGAGCAATGAAGAGCAGCATTATTGATTTGACAACATACAAGAGCAAGTCTACACTACAGCGCTACATTGGCGCAGTTGCACCAATGCAGCTGCGCCACTGTAGTATTTGTGCTGAGGGGAGAGTGCTCTCCCGTTGGCATAGCGTGTCTTCACCAGACACACTATACCAACGGGATATGCCAACAGGAGAGCGCTCTCTCCTCAGCACAAATACTCCACCTCCGCGAGAGGCAGAAGCTATGTTGGCAAGAGAGAGTCTCCTGCCGATATAGTGCCGGAGTGGACAGTGCTTAGGTCGCTGTAACTTGTCTTTTTCATACCCCTGAGTGATGTAAGTTACATTGACTTAAACAGTAGTGTAGACCAGCCCCAAGTCTCAAAAGGTAGCCAAGGATAAGCCACAGAGGACTTTTAAATCAATGTTTCTCCACAAGGACATTAAAAGTGAAGACAAGTAGACATGTGCTTGAGCAGACGTGCAGAGGGGCAAGGAGAGGGGGTAACGTGGTCAAAACAATGAGGATTCTTACAGCAAGACTGAATGGGTGTAAAATGTGACACAGGTGTTTGGGGATTAACATGTGACATTTTATGTTTAGAATCATAGATTATTAGGGTTGGAAGGGACCTCAGAAGATCATCTAGTCCAACTCCCTGCTCAAAGCAGGATCAATCCCCAACTAAATCCCCAAATGGCCCCCTCAAGGATTGAACTCACAACCCTGGGTTTAGCAGGCCAAAGCTCAAACCACTGAGCTATCCCTCCCCCCGTAGGCATCTATAACTATGCTGTCAACATTTTAGAATGGTACTTGACCTGTGACATTCAGTCCAAGGCAGATAACAAAGGACTGCTCCTCCCTAGAAAGCGCTGCCCGAAGTACCTGACATCAGCAAGAAGGCAAAACAGCTAAGGAACCGAAGGTGATGGGCACAGGAGGGTGCAAGGCTAATGCCAGTGCAGTTTCTCCTGCAGAGGATGCACAGCGCGAGATGTCCGTGTCGTACCCCACGGGATGCCCCGGGACAGGCTGCGCTGGGCACGCAGTGTTTGGCTCCGTACACCTCACCTGAGCGCTCATTAGCAAATCCCCCGGCGTGTGCAGCGAGAAATCCTCACACCCCACGGCCAGCCCCGCTGCACCCGGGCCCGGAGGTGGGGCACTGCAGGGGAAGCAACGACCCCCGCGCCCGGCAGAACCCGACAGGGCTTATATCCCCCGCCCGCCTGGCCCCTCACCGCACGGTCCGGATCACGAAGTAGACGATGAGGGCGGCGCTGGCCACCACGAGCACAGCCAGGGCGCGCTGGGTCATGGGCTGGTCCCGCTCGGGCGGGGCCCTGCTGCTGCCATTGCTGCTCCGCGTCGCCTCCCCGGGGGTGCTGCCTTGCGGGGGCGTCGAGCGGGCCGGCGGGTCGCTGTTCGCCGCGGCAGCCTCCTCGCACAGCGCTCCCAGCAGCAGCCCGGTCAGGAGCCAGCGCAGCGGCGGCCGCATCGCGCCCCCTCCCTGCCCGGCTCGGGTACGGCCACGGCCTCCAGGGGGAGCCGCCGCGGCCTAGGCGCGGCCGGGCTCTGCAGCCGCGGCAGAGGAAGCGGAAGTTCTCATCATGGCTCCGAGTCCGGCAGGGCCGCCGCTGCCATGGACGCTCCCGGGCCGCCGCTGTTGCTGTCAGGTGACCGAGGCGCGGCGCTCCAAAACTAAACTGGGGTCGACGCATGCGCGATTGCAGCTCAAGCCTGAGGGCGCGCGCGTGGCGACTTGGGCAGGGTGGTTGCTGCTGGCTGTAGCGCTGGGCAGAGGCCGACTGCAGGCGGGTATCAGGCGCCACGCCGGGCTCTGCGGACGCAGGGACGAGAGTGTGAGCAAAAAGGGGGGACCCACCCCAAACTCTGTGCTCCGGGATAAGGCAAGAGCCGGAGGTACCCGGATCCCGCTGGCTGTCTTTGGCTCTCTCCTCCTCCCCCACTTGCAGGGGGAAGCCAGGCCCGGAATTTTTTCGGGCCCCCCAACAAGGGTGGACCGGCTAAACAGGGCCGACGAGGGGGGGAAGCCAGGCCCCCTTCCGGACCGGCGGGCCCCGGTAATTTGTACCGACTCACAGCCCCACGCCCCCGTCGGCCCTGTTTAGCTGGTCCGCCCTTGCTGGGGGGCCGGGAAAAAAAATTTCACCGGGGCCCTGCACCATCCACTACCTAGGGAACAAGCCTCGCTCTTCCTAGTGCAACTACCCGCCCGCTCGCAGCCTTTGGCTCCCAGAACACAAGCGCTGCCGCAACCCAGATCTGGATCCTTTCAGGGTTTATCTCACCCCCAAGGCTACTGGCAGGAACAGGGACCACGTGTACCAGCCCCTCCTACTGCGCCCAAAGCATTCCAGACCTTGAGTGTATGATAGTGCATGAGGCTGCGAAATACTGTAGATCCGGCACCTAGAGCAAGCTGGATCGTGGTAATTTTTGTGCCCAAACCCCATACTGTAAAGAATCTAAACAAATCTATTGTAGCTGTTTCTAGTTCATCATAAATATCTTCCAGCTTCTGGATAAAAATCTGCCCTGTGACGGGGGAGGGGGTTGCCAATTTTCTAATCGCATAAAACCCAACAATCTTGCCCCGCCCCTTTCCTGAGGCCCTGCCCCTTCTCTGAGGATCCGCCCCTGCTCACTCCATCTCTCCTCCCTGCATGGCTCATTGTCCCCCACCCTCACTCTCTTTCACTGGATTGGGGCCGGGGGTTGAGGTATAGGATGGGGTGAGGGCTCTGGTTGGGGGTGTGGGCTCCAGGGTGGGGCCAGAAATGAGCGGCTCAGGGTGCTGGAGGGGGCTCTGGGCAGGGTTGGAGTGTGGAAGGGGGTGAGGGCTCCTGCTAGGGATGTGAGCATTGGGTTGGGGTCAGAAATCAGGGGTGCAGGGTGCGGGTGGGAACTCCGGGATAGGGCAGGGGGTTGGGATGTGGGAGGGGGTGTGGACTCTGGGGTGGGGCTAGGGTAAGAGGTTTGGGGTGCAGGAAGGGGCTCAGGGCTGGGGCAGGGGAGCTGGGCATGGGAGGGGGTGCGGGCTCTGGGAGGGAGTTTGGGTGTGGGAAGGAGCTCAGGGCTGGGGCAGAGGGTTGTGGTGCAGGCTCCAGGAGGGAGTTTGGCTGCAGAAGGGGACTCAGGGCTGGGACAGGGGGTTGGGGCATGGGAGGGGTGTGCAGGCTGTGGGAGGTTGTTTGGGTGCAGGAGGGGGATCAGGGATGGGACAGGGGGTTGGGTTACAGGCTCTGGGAGGAAGTTAGGGTGCAGGAGGGGGTTCCAACTTGGGACAGGAGGTTGGGGTGCAGGAGGGGATTCGGGGTGTAGGCTCCAGCCGAGCGACACTTACCTCAGGCAGCTTCCGGAAGCGGCCAGCATGTCCGGCTCTGAGGCGGAGGGGCCAGGTGGCTCTGTGGGCTGCCCGTGCCTGCAGGTGCCACTCCCGCAGCTCCCAATTACCAGCCAATGGGAGCAGTGGAGTCAGCACTCGGGGCAGGGGCAGTGCGTGGAGCCCCTGTGCTCACCCCTGCACCTAGGAACCAGACATGCCGGCCGCTTCCGGGAGCCACGCAGAGCCAGGACAGGCAGGGAGCCTGCCTTAGTCCTGCTGCGCCACTGACCAGACACCTGGCAACCTCAACCGGACGCCGCTGACCAGATGCCTGGCAACCCTACCTCTGACACATCTTGGTCCAATAGCACTGGAGAAATTACCAGCTGGTACCTAGCTCATGCTGGATCATGCCAGGTTTTAATCCCAATCTTCTGAATTCTACTATCTGAATAAAAAGTAATGTACCAAATCCTAATGACCTTAAATGCCTGTTGCAAAAGGTACAGCAGAATTGCAAAAACAAGCTGATTCCAGTGACTTCTTTTATCCCAATCCCCCAAATCCTACCAGCTAAATCAAGAAGTGCATTTTTTTCAGTTCTGTTGGAAAAATGCAGACCTCAATACAGCAATTACAATTTTGATTTCATGAGAGCCCCATTTTCTGCTGAAAAAACACTGATGGAAAATTTCCACTTTCTCTATCCAAGATATTTGCAGTGGAGAAGTGAAGATAATTGAAAAGTTAATTCTAACTTTTCAGAAATGAGAAATTAGGCAACGAGTAATCGTTTTTTGAGTCCTGATTATACTATTGAGTACTTTCTGATGGACGGTAGATTCCCCTCTTCAAAGGAAATATTGACAACCTCTATCAGTAGGGTTCCCATATACTCTTTACTTTTTTCCCCCCCAACAGCCACAGATTTCATGAATCAGTCTCATTTAGTGGCTTTGATTTCTTTCTGTACATTACACTTTCTGTGACAAAATCTGGGCTGGAGAGTGTCGTTGTCAGTCTGGATTTTTCTGGTCAAGCAGGAGCATGAACATATATTTCTATTTTGACAGTACAATTTGGAGACTATGAGCCAAAATAATCTAAACTCCAGCAGGTTTCAGGAACTGGAAATATCTTTGTGGTGCTATTGGGTTTTTGTTTTTGTTTATTTTTTAAACATGTGGCTTCCACAAAATCAAAATTTTCCAGTTTTTTTTATTTTTAAGTTTCTTTTATGTTGAGAAAAATTAAACTAATTATTTAATTTCAGCTAATATTGTCCCATATTGAAACATTTTGGTTTGCTCAGACAAAGAGAAACATTTACTTTCAGACCAATTTGACATTAAACTGTCTGCCTGAACTGTTGTGGCAGCTCACCGGAGTTGTAGTTCAGGTGCCTCATGCACCTATTTTCCCCTACCGTCTGGGCTCCCTTACCAGACTACATCTCCCATGATGCAGTGTAGATGCATTATGGTCTCTCTTCTGACTGAATTGCCATTGTGCATCATGGGTGTCCATGACTGCAGTTTATCACTGAAATTTTTTGAGACTTTTAATTCCACCCAAAGTTAATATTTCAACATTTCATCCTGGTTTAAAGATGTACACAAATGTAGAAATATTGGAATTTCCTATCGGATGTAAATTTTGATTTTGATCACCTCTAATCTTGGACCCTGTGACCCTGTGTACAAGAAAGGTAATGATTTGTGTCACTGCTGTTACACAATTACCATAAATCTTATACAAAGTGTATCATGTAAAGCAGTGGTTCTTAACCTTTACTGCAGCCTGCACCCCTTTGGTTCTCAAAATATATTCTTGCACCCCTTCAACCTAAAAAATATGTTCTCGCACCCCTTAAACCTAGGTATATTTTTGTTTGTATATTACAGTAATCGTTAAAAAATGTATAATGTTAATAAATACATAGGTTTGATGAAACAAAGTAGTTGTACTTACGTGCCTGTGCTTAATTTGTGGTTTTGATGATTTGCCTTCTAAAAAAATCTGGCATGTCTCGCACCCCCAGAAAGGGCATCTCGCAGGTTAAGGTGCACCCCAGGTTAAGACCCACTGATGTAAAGTGTCATTGGAAAATTTATTTGCTAAGTACTGTTATCCTGTTTATATATACACATGTATCATCTTTGTATCTGACGTTATGAATATTGGCTATGTGCTTGTATCTTAAACCTGTGTTTTGTTCCTGGGTGACACCCTCCAGATACAATTACATCAAGGCTAGACAGCTGTGTATTGATAGCCCATCAAGGCCTCTCAGCTCCCACAATGGGCCATTGAAAAAAACTCATCTCACCCAGATGGCTCTTGCTGAGGATGCTTCAGACAATGAGGATCCAATGGCCGCCCCCTGTGATTCAGCAAACCATGCAAGGACATGTGATATGCTCTTGTAACCCTGGACTCCATCTCAGTGGCGTAGCCAGGTTCTAAGAGCAGGGGGAGCAAACATAAAAAAGGCGCCCCCCTTGGCTCCTCCTCTGGCCATGCCCCCCTTGGCTCCTCCTCCGGCCACTCCGCGCCCCCCCCCTTTTGGGGTCCACTCCGCGCTGGCCTCCCCTCTGCGCTGCTACGGTGCTGAGCACCCCCCTCGCCGGGCTCCCCAGGCGGGGGGTGAGGTGACACCCCCATGTGCCCCGAGCCACGGTGGGGTCCGTGTCCCTTTAAGAGCGGGGCTGGGCTGAGCCAGTGGGGGGTGGCTCCGCTTCCTGCTGCAGGCTGATATCGGAGCCTGGGCTGAGAGCCATGCTCGTCTCCTGCACCAGCTCCGGGCGGGGCTTTGCTGCGGCTCTCCCAGTCCCCCTGGGCTGGGCCGCCCCACGGTAGGGGCGGGTTGCATGAGGCAGGGCAGGACCCGGTGGGGCCGAGGGCTGAACAGGCCTGGCAGGGCGGTGCGGGGGCTGCTGGAGGGAGAAGCTGGGGAAGGGGTGGCACGGCTTCAACCCCCTGGGGCTGCCTGCCCTGTGGAGGAGGCAGAGGGGCGCAAGCCGCAGCAGGACCCCAGCCCCCCGGGGAAGGGGATCTGGGGCCAGCCCGGGGAGGCAGGAGCAGCCCCGGGGGTGCTGGGCGCGTGCAGGGCAGAGCCCTGTGAAAGCCCCAGTCCCACAGTGGGCAGTGCTGCAGAAGAGGAGCCCACGCCCCATGGCGGGCTAGGGGAACCCCAGGCAGGGAGAGCTGGGCCGCCCGCACCCACCTCTCGTGGCCGCTCTATGCTGCTCCCGGTACCAGCCCCGCTGCTTTCCACTTCCTG